ATTTTCTGAAAGAAGGAAGCTGGTATTTTTCCTTTATTTCTGTACAACATAACCTTTTCTGGTAGAAGCAGTGATGATTACCTTTCCATTCTCATTTAAGAACTGCAAAATTTAATTTTACCCCTTGGTTGCTTTTTAAAAATTTATTGGGTTATTACTGTACAAATCGGAAAGGGGTTCTAGAGAACACATTTCAATCACTAGAACTATCTATTAAAATTACCTTCCTTACACAGATTTTCACTTAGTTTTATTATCTTATTTGTTCACTTACAGCCTGCCATGAAATGATTATCAAGGCTAAGTTTATATGTCTGCATATCTTCTAAGCGTCTAAACTCCATTGTGGTCAATGGATAAATAATCAAGTAGAGCCTGGAGAGCAATTCTTCTTATCCTAATCAGACACACACTGGCTAGTCAACTGAGCAGCTTTCTAGGTTCCCTTGACTTCATTGACTAACATCTGTGTGAAGGCTATTGTATTTAATTGTTTTAATTTTGAACTGAATCTCACCCAAACCTTGAAGATCAAGCTAAGCCACCTAGTCTCTTTATTTGATCAGGAGAGAGACAGACGTCTTTCAAGGGCAATTCACTCTGACTACTTTAAACATCTTATTTAAACCATGAAGTAAGAACGCAGTACAGACAAAATCTGTGCGTGCTGTACTGTAGGCTGTAGATGTCTATATAGTTAAAAGCAAAACCTGTGATTGTTGTGTAGTTACTGTTATCAATTACAGTGTAAGATAGAATGTCTCTTAATTAACTTAATAACCTGGTAGGTACATTTAGACATAGCTAATTAGAACCTTCTTGTAATTGGGCCTATGATTAATAGACTGTGAAGACTGTTTCGTTTGTATTAAATGCATGGACAGTCACAGGGAAATTAAAATTTGAGCCTGCAGTGAATAACTAATAGAGGACATCAGGACAGCACACTAGTGAACAATTATTCCCTTTCTAAAGAATTAATATATTAAATATATTGTCACTTTGGACCCTTCCCCTGCACCCCAAGATCTTTTGCAGCCTTCTTTAATATGTGTATGAATATCTGTCTTGGAAATGTCCATAACTTTTTGAAACAGTCTAACATATATAGTTTAGTAAAATTAGAGAATGCAGAAGTATATAAATGTAAAATTACAGAAGAAAGTATACATAACTCATTTTATTATTGATTAGTGCATTACAAGTTAACATCCTTGGAAAAATTGACTGCAAGTGTTTCTGGAGCTTGTATCACCTTTCTGCCCATTGTTCTCACTCTGGTCAGGGCAGAACCTGATTTGGGGCAGTACAATGGGGAAGCAGCAGAAATTAATGTCTTCACCCTAGTGCTGTAGTCTGTAGCAATCTTGCAATCTTGCAGTTCCCTTTCACCTCTTTTTTTTTTTTTTTTTTTTTTGCTGCACCATCTCATGAGTACACAGGGGTTGACTATACCTTTGAACAGTCTTCTTCACCCGTTACACAGCTGGAAGGGAGATAGATGCTGAGGAGAGTCCCACTGATAGAGAAGAGAAAAAGACATAGATTGAAATGAAGATGTAGCAGTGGAAAGAAGATAGGAGGAAAGAGATCATGTGTGATGGACAGTTGTGATCAGGGTGATGGCATCAGGGAGACCCAATCTGCCATTACTTTGTATTCATTGTCATAAGATATACTATATATAGAAAAACATGTTGTAAAGGTAGACAACAGTTTTTTTTTTTTTTGTTTTTTGTTTTTTTTTTTTTTTTTTTTTATTAAGTGAAATTGGGAAAAAGTAAAAAATGTAGGAATTTGGGTGAGAAACGCAAAAAGTGTAGTTAATATTTTTAGACATGTAAAAACATCTTGTGTTGCTTTTTTTATGCATGGTTGAAACTTATCTGTTGAATTTTTCATAAGAAATGGATCCCAGCTTTAATTATCTTGTGCCATTTTTATTCTGCTGTTAATGCAGAGGCGGCTTCATTGAGAATGTTGGTCTATTTTCTTTTTTTGTGTGTGTTTGAGAACTTAGCACATTGTGAGTCATATCAGACTGCTGCTAACCAGAAAGGAATTTTTATTTTTGTAACTTGTTGTACACTTTAGTTTTTCTATTTAATAACTTCAGTTTTGTCATCGTTTTTGAACTTTTTTAAAATTGTGAGAGTATATTTAGAATACCATGGCATAGATTTATCTTGCTGTCTATTAAGATGTCATCTAAGCAACAGATGAGAGCATCAAATGAACTTCAGATAATTTGAATGGAAGTTTAAGACAGTTTCTCTTTTAATAGGGAATGGTGGTAAAATGAGAATTCCCCTAATGTAGGCATTCCTTAACTGTACTATACACTTCATTGAAGGTGAAATGAGGCTTTTACGTAAAATGTGAGCTGAGTGCTAAGTACAGTTATTGCCTGTGTGAAATTTTTCCTCCCTGCCGTGTCCTAGCCAAACACAGGCAAATAACATATTTCCTTGTAATTGCCTGCTTGCTAGGGATGGCAAGAGTATTATCCTTCCACTTGTCACAAGCTTGGAGAGCATAGGTTGAGGCCTGAGTGAATGGAGCTAGGTCCTTTGATGCCACATAAATGTTTTGTTTTTGTTTTTGTTTTTGTTTTTGTTTTTGTTTTTTAATCTGTCTACTATTTTCATTTTATGAAGATTCTTTATAAAGAAGGAACATAATTTTTTTTTCTCCATCTCCATAGTGAGACCATTTCTTACTATGACGAGTAAGTCAATAATAATAACAATCGAGTAATATTGGTTGTATATTGACATGTAGGCATCTCCATATTGTCTGTTCTAGAGCTACATTAATTTTGTAGTGTATTATTAACATTGCCACCCATGCATCTCTTAAAAAATTAATAGTATCAATGCATGTCTCTCAGTTCTTATCATCTTGTTTTTATTAATCTAAGACAGAAAAATTATATTTTCAGACCATGATTCAAAGAAATTATTTAAATTACAAGTCAGCTTTTACAGAATTACACTTTTCCTTTTGTAATAGAATCCTCTGCAGTGGAATTCCTGCTGCTATGGTGGCCCATTACAAGCACAAGATTACATCTTTCCACTTCTTGCTAATTTTGCATTTTGGCAGAGAAAAAAAAGGTTTGCTGTTAGAGTGTTGCTAAGCAACCAAAAGATGAATTACTCCAACTTCTGGATTTTTCTTGTATGATATATGTCACCTTGGTGTGAGATAGTCTAGATTTAGTTACACCTTTTTAGGTTCACTGTAGATAGTTGTCAAAAATCAAATCACAGATGATCCTCATTTAATGTTTTAAAGTTGAGATATTTTCTACTTTTTGTTTTTTGAAATCTGATTTCTCTGTTTGAAATGGAAAGCTTACTTCTGTTTCATTTTTCACCTATACCTAATTCTTTATACTACTACTTGAATAAAAAGAATAGAAAGTCTTGGCATGTAACTTAGTGCATCTTACCAGTACTGCATGCTGTTACTCTTCTTTTACTGTTTTTTGTTTGTTTGTTTGTTTGTTTAGAATAGAATAGAATAATTCAGTTGGAAGGGATCTGCAAAAATCATCAAGGCCACTTGCCTGATCACTTCAGGGCTAACCAAAAGTTAAAGCATATTATTGAGGTATTATCCAAATACCTCTTGAACACTGACAGACATTTTGTTTATTCTCACTGTTAATGGATTTCTTCCAACACAACTAACTGATGGTAATACCAAGTAATTAGTAATATTTGAAAAATTGTTCATTAAATGACAGTGTATGGAAGAGAGAAACTTAAGTCTGTGGAAGTTCTGGTAAGATTTATGTTTGCAAATATGTTAGAGAATCATAAGGTCCCTTTAAGGGACCCTCAAAGATCATCTGTGGCAGGGGCATCTTTTACTGGATCAGGTTGCTCATAGTCCCATCTAACCTCACTTTGAACTCTTCATATGATGAGGCTTCCATAAGTTCTCTAAACAAGCTGTTCCAGTATGGTAATGCTCTGAATAACTTGTTTGTTTTGCTCTTAATAACTTGAGTGTTTGTTTTTTGTTGTTGTTGTGTTTTTTTTTTTTTTTTTTTTCCTGATTTTGTTGTACATTGCTGTAATTCATTGACTTCAGTGGAGCTTTTCCCTTTTCCCTTTTCCCTCTTCCCTTTTCCCGTTTCGCTTTTTTTTTTATTATTATTATTATTATTTTTTTTCCTCCTGTGAAATTGTGTGTATTTCGGGGTCACCCCCCACTTTAGTCATTGATTTCCACTCAGAACATGTGCTGAGCACAGAGCTGCATCTTCCTTCTAAATTCCTAATCTGTGTTTCATGTGTAGGGAGCCAGGAAGAATTTGAGCAACAAATAGAGACTGTTTCTCTTTCTGCAACCCTGTGAGGCCAGCAGTAAGGAAGTATCAGCAGTAAGGAAGTATCAGTATACATAGGGTTGCAATGGTTTCCTGCCTATGTTGGTTTTGTATCCATGTGTGGACCATAGTAATAAAGTATTTGATTGTGCCTATACAGTAAAGTTTTTGGAGGACTTCTTTTAAAAGATAGCTGTCTCAGTTTGATCAGACCTTGAAGTTCAAAGGTATGAATGTGTATTCACTATTTCACGTCTGGGTGAAATTAAAAAATGGATGAACCCTCCAGCTTCCATGCAGAAGAAACCTGGCTATGTGGGTCAGGGAAGAGCTACTCACTGCTCTGAAAAGGTTCTTGTTCTGAATGGTTGAATGAATAGGTTGTTCTGGGTAAATTCTGACAGGTAGCAGTGGTGAAGTTATTTGTGTAAATTTTTGTATAAATTATACCAGGTAAATGTATGTACAAGCTAAAATAATTTCAGATGTGATCACTTCATTGGGCAAAGCTAGCATTAGTTTGAGGAGATGGATGTTACCAGCAGTTTTTTTAAAACCTGCAGACAGGCTTTTCCTTTATTAATGGTCCTCTACCTTGGTAAATATAAGTTTAGGTGCAATATTCCATTAATTTTTCATTTTTTGTCTAAATTTTCTAAAGGAGTTGATGACAAAGCTGATAACGGAGACACCTGACCAGCCAATCCCATTTCTAATTGATCATCTTCAATCCAAACAAGGAAACCGCGGTCAGCTTCAGAGAACATTGTCTGGCTCTGCTGCCCTTTGGGCAGAGAGTGAAACATCAGGTATGTTCTGTATGCTGGAAGGGGATAGTCTCCACTATAGTTTTCCCACACTTTTCCTAGATTATTTCTTGGATGTACATGTTCATACTGAGGAGGTGTTACTCTGTGGTTTTGGACATGTACAATAAATCCTGTTTGTCCAGTACATATTGAATTAATTTCATGTGCATAGGCTGAGCTGGTAGCCAGCAGTACACTTATAATGAATATGGGTGTGAAAGTTAGCTTCTATTGAGCTTTGCTCTTTTTTTTTTTTTTTTTTTTTTTTTTTCCTTTACTACCCACATTTTCAAGAACAAGCTATCATTGCAGCACTTATGATGCTATCACTATGTTGTGAACTCCACTGTGAATTATTTATGACTGGAGATCTTCAGAGGCATTAAAAACAAATCTGAAATAATATTCACTATGATTCTAAAGTAGAAATTCTAACTTTGATATTCTGTGACAAGCTCTTCTTAGAATTTTGGGTTTGTATCTAAAAATTGACTGATGATCTGTTTCAGACTGTAATAGATCTCCAACAGTTGTTTGTAGTCAATTGCTTGACAAATTAACTTTTTATTTATGTACAATTTAAAGTTTTAAGCATAGGCAGTCAAATGTTACAGAACAAACAGAAGGTAAAGACTTCTCCCTAACAAAAAATAATATGTGTTTTTAAGTGAAAAACATTAATGAATTTCTCAATTTTGGTGTTCAGGAAAATGAAGAAATATATGAGATATATCATGTGGAAAAAGAGCTGACTTCAATTTACATTGATAAGACTAGAATTTTCTGGATTGTTTATGAAGGATTTGAAAAATGACCCTAAAAATATTATAATTGCCCGATATTATTCTTTTAACAGAAAATAAAGGAACAAGGAGAGATTTCAGAAGTTATGATAAACCCTGGCAGGTAAATGCAAAGAAGCCTAAAAAGTCAAAGAGTGACCTTGCCGTGTCCAACATCTCTCCACCGTCACCAGAGTCCAAGTCATGTAAGCTTCACTACATTATTAATTTATGCATATTTCTAAACCCATAGTCTGTTTTTCTTTTTTCAGTTGAATTAGGCTTAAAATGTGAAGTGAACTGTGAGCTGTTGAAATGACTAGATACACACATTAGAAGAGTTCGAGCCTTGCTTTAATTTCATTGGCATTATGAATTTTTAATAATACCCTATGTTGTCATCTATAGATAGAATAGAACTCTAGATAGATAGATACAGAAGACAGAAAAATATCTGGGTGTCATGCAGAAGTTTGTGTTCAGATACCAGTTTTGATCTGTTGTGTTAGTTTGCACTGCTATTTTGTACGTGTAAAATATGTTCTGTTGATACTGATCCTAATAACAGCTTTTTTCTGTGGGTAAGGCAATGCAAAACCACGAATTACAAAGAGATACCATTCAAGATATGGGGACAGTGTCAGCAGAAACAGGTATAACTGTTCTAAGAGTTGCTAAATGTATGCTGAAAGAAAAGGTAGTTGAGAAATTGAATGACTAAAGGGAATATTGTCAATTACCTGTAAAATAGAAGCAGTAAAAGTAGAGGCAACAAGCCTTAATGAAATACAGTGGTTTCTGTATACTGGCTATTAAAGAGATGTAGTTTTTAAGCTTGAGGATTTTTACACAAAATAATATATATATATATATAGTACATGTATGCATGTATATGTATACAGTATTTGTATACATGTAAACATTGTATACATTTGTAAACATGTAAGTATACAATATTTGTTATCCAAAATAAATCTAGAAGTTATATTTTATTGTTTCGTATTCTAGCTTTTTAAAGTTCTTATTTATAATAGCCATACCTTTTAAATAACTTTGAGCATAATAAAGTGGACTAGGTGAGAACAGTATGTTGCAATAGAAAACTTTCTGTTTTTCCTATAAAAAGCCAGCTGCGGAAGTCCAGGCTTCAGTGGAATCAATGGAAAAGCTCAACAGGTCAAAATCAGGTGTAAACAGGAACATTCATAGAAGGGGACGGTCACTCATAATCTGCAGTGTTTTCTGGGTAACAGCAATTTACAGAAACAATGGCCAAGAGTGGTGTGAGTTACTCCTGTGATCATACTTTATTTCTTCTCTTCCCTCCCAGTGCTTGTGCTTCAGACTCAGCGGTGTGAGTCAAGTAACTTTCATGTCATTTCTCAAAGTCCAGTTGGAAGCCTATCACTAGTGGCATGCTTAGGGGACCAGTACTGAGACCAATACTATTTAAAAGTCTTTATTAATGCCCTGGATGATGAGATAGCATGTTTTCTTGAATGCGCGCAGATTAGACCAAATCGTGGGAAGCAGTTGGTATTCTGGGTGGCAGGGCTGCTATTAAGAAGGGACCTCAGCAGGCTGAGAAGTAGGCTGAGAGGAGCATCATGTTGTTCAATAAAGGCAAATGCAAAATCTTGCATCTTGGATGGAAATGCCTTGTGCAATAGTATAAACTGATGTCTGAATGGCTAAAAATAGCTTTGCAGAAAAGGACCTGGGGTGCTGGTGAACAAGAACTTAAATACAAAACATCTGTTGCCGTGTGCTCTTGCAGCACTAAAAGTAAGCTGCATATTGGGCTGCATTATCAAGTGTAGCCAGCAGTGTTTGATGCTTTTGAGATGGCATCTGGAGTATGTCACACTAGGCACTGATGCAAGTCCCCCAGAGGTGCACCAAGATGATTAGTGGTCTAGAGCACATGAAGTACAAGGAAAAGCTGAAGGACATTGGTTTGTCCATTTGGATGAATGCTAAGGAGAAAGGTCATTGTCATCTCCAACTGTCACATTGGAGGGTATACAGAAGACATACCAAATTCTTCTTAGAGGTGTGCAGTGAAAGAGGCAATAAAAATGACATGGTCTGATTTTTGGGTGGTTCTGTGCAGAGTGAGCTGGCTCGATGATCTTTGTGGGTCCTTTCTAACTTAGAATATTCTATGATTTTAGAAATCCTTTCCATGCTTTCCTGTTTATACCCTTTCCCTTTTTAATCCATAGCACTGTTGTAAACCTTGTGTACTTGTGTTATTGTCACAAAACGTTCACCCTTGAAAATATCTCTATTCAACTTTTTGAAAATATATTAAGCACATAATCAATTTTCTTGTGAATATAAACTACATCTTTTTAATTGCGATCACAGCAATGTGCCTTTTTGTCGTATCTTGCTTCTCTTATTTTCTGCCAACAACCAAATTAATACTGACCTTTTTTGCTGGGTTTACACCATAATCCGTGGCCCTTTCAGCCACTCAGATCAGTGGAAAGCAATCATGTTCAGCAGCAATGCATTACTCTGTCCAGACTTGCACAACATATTCTATCTGTTTTGTGCCTTCAGTTTGTACGTCAAAACATTGTTGGGACTCAATGTAAGTTGTTCCCAAAACCTCTTCAAAGAGGTAGTAAGGACTCTACCTAAGACATGGAATATTTGTGGTCTGCTGAGAGCTAAAGATTTATTCCCTGATTTGTGTAAAATAAACAAACAAAAAACCCCGCAAACCTCTCCCCACATTTCCTACAAGCACACATGATAACCTAAAATGCCTCCCCAAAGCTGCCAAAACAAAACAAGAATTTAATGGATTCCATTAGTTGTAAGAGGTTCTGTTGCAGAACTTTGTCTAAGGACTGTCTTGCTGAAATGATCCTGAACTTGTAAGTTTATTCAGGGCTAAGAACTGTCAATTCATAGGAATCTTTGAAAACACCAGGAGAATTGATTTATTTAATTAGTAAATATTTTTACCTTCAGCAAAGCTGATGTTGACTGCAGTGTTCATGTTATTCCTGCACAGATCTCTCTTATGCATTCAACTTTTTTTACTGCAGAGACTCCTCCAGTTTCTCCTTCTGACTGCTATGATCTCAGTTGCACCTGAAACAAACAGGAAAGCCTGGTGTCTTAGGGATCTGAGTACTTGTTTGTAAAAGCATGTTTAAGCTTCTTCTCTTGTATGGCAAGGGAAGAGTCCTGATGCTAGAGCTCAGTGTGTGTGTGTGTGTGTGTGTGTGTGTGTGTGTGTGTTTAATTAAATGTTTGTATGATGACATTCTATATTTGAAGAATAATAAATTTTAAAGTAATTTGTGAAACAGACTTGCTTCCCAGCAAGCAACTCAGGTAAATTAGGTTGATCTCTTTACCACTTTCATATTAAATCAGATCACAGATCATTCTTTTACTCTGCTTCAGTTCACCATTCTCTTTCCAGGTTTCCATATCCCATTTACAGTGTTGTATGTTTCTAATTGCCCGTGGTCTGTCTAGTACTGTAGGCCATCATTCACTTAGCCTTTTAATATCCAGCTACTGTGTAAACCAGTTTCATCTGAATGCTCTTACAAGATTTAAATACCTGGGTAATTTTACAATCAATAATAACACCTATATATATATATATTTTTTTTTTTTTTTGGGGGGGGGATGTAAGGTGGACATACTATGTATTAGTGAAATATAGCATCTAGTCTAAGGACTTTTCTCCTGCAATGAGCAGATATGTGCACGAGTAAGTGGCCTCTTGCCGTATGATAGGAATGAATTTTCCATGAACCTACCACTGGAGAATTTAATGAGTCATTGGTCTGATTCTGTCTGCAAATTATGTTTTGAAAAGACAGGTATATGTAGATGAAAACAATACTGATCTTGTACTATCATCCAATGGAAAATAATAGTCAGGTGATTTATGACAGAATTCATAGCAAATCTGACATGATTTTGAGGAATGAGTGAGTATAAAAAAAGGGAAGAAAAAGGTTCGAATTTAATGAATGGATTCTACTAAATGTGAAAAGAGATACAGATGTTAATGATGTATGATGGACTTCATACGGAAGAAGATTGTGTATGGAATGTGTCCAGAGAATGACTGTGAAGCTTCTGAATGGCCTGGAACACAAGTCTTATGAGGAGTGGCTGAGGAAACTGGGGTTGTTTAGTCTGGAGAAGAGAAGGCTCAGGGGAGACCTTATTGCTCTCTACAGCTACCTGAAAGGAAGTTGTGGGGAGATGGGGATCGGCTTCTTCTCACAGATAACTAGCAATAGGATGAGAGGGAATGGCCTCAAGTTGCACCAGGGGAGGTTCGGGTTGGAAGTTAGGAGACATTTCTTCTCAGAAAGAGTAGTCAGGCATTGGAACGTTTGCCCAGGGAGGTGGTGGCATCACTGTCCCTGGGGAGGATGTTTAAGGTAAGGTTGGACATGGTTTAGTGGGTGATATTGGTGGTTGGGGGACAGTTGGACCATCTGATCTTGGAGGTCTTTTCCAACCTTAATTATTCTATGATTTCAAAAGATATCAAGGAAGGGTCATATAATGTTTATACAGTTCTGCATGCTTCACATAAAGCCATTTACTTAAAATGACCAGAATTTAGTATCCACTCATTATGTGGATGACTAGGTAAGTAAAAAGAACTGTGTCTTCTAGAAGTAATAAAAGTTTCAGTCAGATCTAATTCTGCATTTCTTCCCCCTCAGTTTTGGCTCAACAGAGTAAGTGTTGAAACAGAAGTGTTCCATGACAGGATATCTGTTTTGATACATTTTCATCAAAATACAAAATGGTTCATTGAAACACAGACTGTACTGACCAACAAACAGAGCAAATTTCCACTAGGCTTTTGAATGCTTTCCCACCATCTATCCCATCCCACCATCCCAGGGAGATGCAGGACAATCCAAGCTTCTGGTGTTTGTGGAACGTTTCCCTGTAAGTAGGGACCAGACCATCATCTCTTGGGCAAGTTTCCCTACTTTCCAAGGACAAAGTAATGAAACTCTCATGTTCCTGATGCAGGTTGGTTCATATATCAATCAATTGCTAATCCTGGAAGCTCCACAGCTGTTGAGTGTAACTGATGTTTGTTTCATTCAGCATCTGTCATGGGTCCCATGACAAATTTTATTGTGAAAATATATGGTTTCTCAAAAAAATCTATCCTTTGGTATTTTGAAAAATGTCACTTTTTTCAAATTGACATGATACTTGTTGAAATTTTCTGCAGCTTGGAAGCTCTAAGCTTTGGCTATATTTGTACTTGTTTTTACTGTATGAAATTATTTTCTGCTTTTACTTTGGTGGTACTGTGAAGTTTCTGTACTATGGTGAATTCAGTAAAGTGTTGTACACAGAAAGAAAATTCTGTCAAGCTGGTAGTAAGTAGGTTAGAGTGAGTGATGGTATAGAATATATTGTTTGTACAATGAAGGGAGAAGGTGAGATTGCTGAAAAAGTAGGCAATAAAAGCGCATGTGATCTCAGTATGAAACTAAAGTGAGTAAAACTAGAATAAATGTAGAATTTCTTTGCTAGTTTACAAAATATTTGTATTTAGAGTTGGTAGAAGTTTGAAAAGTTTAGAAAAATACTAAAAGGAACATTTTGTTTTCTGTAACTAAGAAAAATAAGAAAAATACTGAAATTGTGCTGTTTAGTTGAAGTTACTTATGAATGGAGGGAATTTTTGGTCACACAGAAATTTCCATAACTTAATGAATGTTGTGCTTCATAAAACGAGGAATCATAAGGTAAATGATTGACTTTCAAAAGTAATAATAAAAATTCTAAAGCTGTCCATCTGAGTAGAGGCCAGTCACCATCCTAATACGTTAATGACTCTTTCTGTTCACTAGAAACCACTATTGTTTGTTATTGCCAGTCCTCAGAAGGAGGCAATGGCATCTTTTTTGAAGACAAAGCAGAACCAGGCTTACATTTTCACTCCAATTTCCCTTCTCCTTTCTGAGACTTCCTGTGTCTCTTTCATCCTACTCTTTACTGTGTATGTCCTTTTAAAAACCTCCTTTGTCTTCTGTTTTTGAGAATGTCTGTAATTGCAGTCTAATATATTCACATTCCTAATACTTACTCAGGTTCCTGAGTCGGTGTTACAGAAGAAACCCTGGGTTATCAGACTCTGTATAGATGTCCAGTTTATTGATAATTTGGTGTATGTCTACAGTAAAGGGAATCACATTTTTCTATTCTATTCTATTCTATTCTATTCTATTCTATTCTATTCTATTCTATTCTATTCTATTCTATTCTATTCTATTCTATTCTATTCTATTCTATTCTATTCATGTGACAGAAGGACTTAAACATAATATTGTCCTTTTCCTTATCTGGCTATTGAATGAACTTCAACTTTCCATTTTGGAGTTGATCCAAAGTGGAACAGATTTGGTATTTGCAGATAGGGCAGTCAGGAATAAGGAAGATTTCAATAGCAGCACTTATTTAACATATTTTGCAATAGCTACCAGAACTTGAAGTCTTAGAGTAATTTCTCCATGTCATCATAAAAGTACTTTGAAATTACAAATGATCATAGGATTCCACTTGTTGTTGTTGTTGCAGTCTTACAGGAGTCGGCAAGTTTCTTTTTAGTGTTTAATGAAAATTAAGTTTGTAAGCATAGATTAGTTGACAGCTTTCAAAATTGAAAATAAAAATTTCAAAGCTAACCAGAATATATTGGACATATCTTTATAGGTTTTGTTTTTGAAGTTATTTTTAAATGAGTAGTGATCAACCACTGATAAATGCAGCCGTTTTTTCTGTTGGGAATGTGGACAAAACATCATCATCTTCATGGCAGCATGTGCATTTCTCAGTGTGGTTATGCTGTGTTTGAAGACAACTCAACTATTTCATTTGGTTGAGAAGGTAGTAGTTCCAGACATAGAGTTACTTTTGCTTTAATTTCTAAAAATTGTTAAAATGCTCACATTGGTCAGTGCAACTCTAAGTACTGTGAGTCTGAAACACCTCATGGAAATTCTTCTCTTTTTCTCAGCTATTGCAGGTGAGGTTAGCTCAGCAGTTGAGAAACTTATTTTAAAATTGAGTCAAAGGTTTTGGTTTATAGGTAACATGTAGAAGACTGAGCTCAGGACTGCACTTCCCAAAGACTCTGTTTATTTACTCTGTCAGAATAAAGGCTATACAGCTTGAGTTATAGTGATATGTTTTGTTTCACTGTTTTTATGGACTGTGCTAGCCACACTTTATGATTTTATTTATTTTTTCAATTTTTTATTTTCATGTTGGTTAGAAAGCTTTATGTAAAATGTTTTTTTCTTTTTGAAAAAATGACCAGAAAAGCCAAAAGTACTGTTCATTTTTGTCATTTTTCCTTACTGACCCCTAAGACACATTTTTATTTTGATGTATTTGAAGCACCTTCATATGCTACTTTTTAATCTCATTTTTATGTTACTGTATTATTTTTATTATTTTTAATTGTTAGCATTAATTATTCCTGTTTGCTGATTAATTCAGCCATAATAATCATCCTGAGTATGCATTTGTTCATGTTTTCATTTTTATTTCACATTGACCAAAGAAAATATTTCCAGCTGTTAAAATAGGATAATTAAGCAATTTCCACTCAAGATTCTTGAGCTTGTAAACACATTGTGCAGCTTTTTTTTTTTTTTTTTTTTTCTGCTGTAGGAGTATGAACTACCAAATCTAAACTTCATGTATATATCTGTGTATATTTAGTGCCAAGGTCAATAGAGCATCCTAAATGGGATTGGAGGACAAAACCGGAGAACCATGATTTTGATGAGCTAAATCATATTCTTCAAGAGAGCAAAAAACTTGGAAAAGCCCTTGAGAATCTGTCTCGCAGTAAGTTGATTGATTTTAGTTTTTTAATGTAACCATGCAGCCTGAATTGTAATCTGGAAGTATATATCAAGAAGGTGGTCTTCCATTCAGTTAAAAGTTCATTGACATCTGCAGTGAAATTCTGGTTGAGGAGGTTCACAGAATGTCTGAGGCAATTTAGCAGCTCGCATGCTGACTGAAACTACTTCCCCTGTACCTCCTCTTTTCTTGCATTGGTTTTCTGCCAGCTTAGTGAGATGAATTAGTTCATAAAGAAATCAAACATAAGAACCTGGTGTAAGGAAAATGGTGGGAACATGCAGCAGTGAGACCGCTCCTTTGGGTGTTAACAGTTAGGTAGGTTTAACCATTTGTTAAACCTTAACCCTCACTGATGGAGATCAGACCTGCTACTGAAAAGCAATTAGGTATTTTATATCCTTGATCCCAACTGATTCCTTACAGTTTTCAAAAGCCATTCAGATAATTCCAAACATGTTAAATAAATACTCTGAAATTTGGTAACCAATTATAAAAAAGAATCTCAAGGCTTATCCCTTAAGAGACATAGTGAAACAGGAGCAGCGTTTAAAAATAGCATTCTCACGTAAGGAATAGCTCTGAGGTATGTTGTTAGTCTGAAGTATGTTGATGAGAACAAACATTACTAACAACTATCAAAGTGTGAAAAGTACTCAGCCATGGAACATGAAAACTGAATATGATGTGGTCTGTGAGCCAGGATATGGGAGACATTTGAATGACAAATATTTAATTTATCCTCTCATTAAATTTTATCCCTGTCACTTCTTGATTCAATGAAGAAATTTCAGATGGTGATACCAGAAAAAAAGCTGAACGAAGAATGGAAAATCTGTTTTGTTAAGTACTTTGAGATTTGATGTTTTTCTGAGTTGGGTCAAAAACACAAAATTAGTTTGCCCAAATTCCCTCTCTCTCAAATGTTTTAGGTTGATCACATGAATTATACTCTGAGAAATTTTTGTATTACTTATAGTAGTATAGTACAGGTCTCTTTTCAAATACATTTCTCATACACTGGTCTATCTGCGTTTTCTCCTCTAAGGAGCTGAAACAACTCCTGACTGGATCTCTGGTTTGCAGCCCCAGCATTGCCTGACAGTATTACTGTGACATGTGTGAGTCTATCATTTTCAAGCCTTTCTTCTTGTAACCAGGCTTAACACAGATTCAGAAGCAACGTGTGTTGTTTTTTTTTTCCTTTTTTTTCTTTTTCAGTTTCAGGGAGAGTTATTTATTCACTGTCTGGAAATACAAAGTAATCAGAGGCAAGTGGTCAGTAACAAAGGCCTAAATCCACTCTTCAGTCCTACGTCTTTTCTGTCCTTGTGAATATTGTGTAGGTTCCACTGAGCTCCCACATTCTTATACTTAAAATACAGTTTGCAGCATTCTGTGCCTCTTTTTGCCAAAGAGTTTTCTAATTGGAGTGCAAAACCACTGCAGCTCTTCCGCCTGGAGAAGTTCAGCCTGGAGAAAAGGAGGCTCAGGGGCGACCTTATTGCTCTTTTAAGTACCTTAAAGGAGGCTGTACCGAGGTGGGGGCTGGTCTATTCTCCCATGTGCCTGGTGACAGGATGTGGGGAAATGGACTAAAGTTGCTCCAGGGGTGTTTTAGGTTGGATATTAGGAAGAACTTCTTTACTGAGAGGGTTGTTAGGCATTGGAGTGGGCTGCCCCGGGAAGTGGTTGAGTCACCATTCCTGGAGGTCTTTAAAAAATGTTCAGATGTTGAACTTAGCTATATGGTTTAGTGGAGGACTTGTTAGGGTTAGGTCAGAGACTGGACTCGATGATCTTGTGGTCTCTTCCAACCTAGATAATTCTGTGATTCTGAGTCCTATGCTTGGACTGAACGTGAATATGTAGGTCAATGTAGTTGGAGTCAGGTTTTTTTTATGTCACAAATGATTCATTCTTTTGTATTTCTTGCTAATACTTGATGTTTTCTGGTGGTTTGTCTAGATAATACAGAATTTTGCTCCTATCCTCCAGGGTCTTTTAATTCACTTGCAATGTGATGTAACATTCACTTTCATGAATGTGCTTTCTATTTCTTCATCCAGATAATTAATGGAAATATTGTCAGACCTCTTCATGATTCCATTTAAGATCTGACAACCAGCCCTTGAAAGCTACTCAGTAAGTGCATTTTTCCCACCAGATGTTTATCTACCTAGCAATGATTTCACCTAGAATGTATTTCTCTAAATTGACTATCACCTAGGACAGTAGACAAAGTCTTATAATAACTTAAGTATTTTACATCTACTTCTTCCTCTTATCCTCTAAGCAAGTTTCCAAGCTGAGAAAACAATTAGACTAATATCATATGATTTATTCTTGGTAACTTCGCGTCAGCTGGTTCTTATCATCTTTCCTATCCATTAGATATCTATAAACAATTTATTTAACAATTTTGTAAAATATTTTTGCTGCTGTCAGATTTCAGCTGCCTGGTTAGTAATTCCCCATGTCCTCTCATTTTCTTTTCTAAAGAAGGATAGGGTATTTGCACTTTTCTGTCCTCTATTCATTATAGACAGTTGTTAATGGTTCCAAGGTTTCTTCAACTAGTTTGTTAGGTGCTTTAGAGTGAATTTCAGAAGATTCTGTCAACGTGAGTGTATCTAAGTGATCAGAATATCTTTCAGCTTTCTCTCATCTGGGTTGTAATTTTCCCATCTCAAAATCACTAGCATTAAGCATCTGGCCACAATTAATCAATTAATCTTTTTTTTTTGTTGTTTTTTGTAGAGAATGAAGAAGTGCAGTGAAGCTATTGACCATTGAGATTTCCTTGTATCATCCATTGCTTGTTTCCCTTCTCTATGACGTAGTAGTTCTGTATTTTACTTTATCCTCCTCTCCTAGTGTGTTTATAGTATCTTTTCTTGTGACTTTATTTTTCTTCTTTGATAGTTGTTACTCATTTTCACTTTAGCCTTTTTGGTTGTATTATTTAAACATTTGTGTCAGATTAATTCTAAATTGTATGTCCCTGTTTCCAATCTTTGTACTCCTTTTCAGATAATTTCAGGAAATAAATCTGTTCTCTGCTGTGATTTCTTCCATATTAGGATGATATAAAATAAAAATAAAATAAAATTTCAAACTGAAATAAATGAAAAGTTTGGAAAAAAATAAGAGGTATAATTTTGAAAATAAAATCTAGTCTTATTATTCCAGAGGGAATAGAGTTTGCACATAGCAAATATTGTGGAGGGATTCAACAAAGGGACAAAGTCCAGGGCTTTGAAAGTCAGACATGAGAAATTCATTCTGTGCTAGATCCAATGATTCCTTATGGTGAATTTTACAAAAACCATGACAGGGTCCCCCAACTATCTTTGTCTGTGTTACTACTTGCTTTTGGCATATAAGTCATTGCTTTTGATTCTACAGGCATGTCAGGTCTATAAGTCCAGTGCTACATTTGATGCTAATCATGTTTCCAAGCAGTATGTGACAGGCAGTGGGCACAACAAATGGATCCCAATATACTGTCCATGGCTCTTTACAACACATTTCATTTTCCAGTATTTTAACAGGGAAGAATGCCATATAAAGTTGGTCATTTGAAATTTTTGGAATCATCTTCCCAAGTACCATCAAGACAGCATGTAAGCAATTCTGTACTCTGGTAGATCCAAGAAAACAATAGAGACTTCACACTCAATGCTAAAGATATCTTGAGTATTGAGAGACCTCAGAATAATATTGACATAATAATGGCAATATTATGGCAAGTGTATTCGAGCTTGGTGACTCAAGTATACCATTTTCTAGAGGTCAACCCATGTCAAGAACATGGGTTTCATTTGCTTCTCCAATCACCTATGTGTCATTGAAGTGTATTTTGAACTATCAAGTCAATTATTTTGGAGACACTTTGGTTTATGAAACGACAGGAATATGCTGCATTTTCCTTATGCATGTTTCTTTTTCTTTGATTGAGAGGCCACTCTTTATTGCCATACTTCTTCCTTTGCTGATCCTAAATACGAAGTGTCATGCCGTTTCACGTGTATGCTCTTCTATTTCCAACTCTGGCCTGTTTTCTTTTTAAAAAGAGTTCAAATCTCCTGCATAGCTGAGGATCTTTCTCATAAATAGACCTCTTAATCCCCACTCTAAGGTTAGAAAGATGCATAACAAGAGATGGAATACAGTGAATAATGAATGTTATGAGTGGGGGGAAATAAGGACTAAATCAGCAAGAGTTTACTTCAAAGCAGGCATGAAGTCTGACTGCTTTGTGAGTACCTTTGCATCTTGTATATGAACAACTAAGGACTTGAGTGCATATTGGACATTTCCATTTACACACGGTAACAGCATTACATGACATTTAATGGATTCTACTGTGGGATGGGTATGTTTTCATAGTTACACATAGACTTTTAACAGAGTTAACCAATGGTTTGTTAGTAATGTTTGGATTCTTGTTGAATCCAGGTGTATACCACAAATTAGGAGGGAAGAAACAAACGTGCTTTGAATTCAATAGGTGTTCTAAGGTCAGAAGAAGGGTAGTAAGTTAACATTAACCAAAGCTATTTGGGAATCCATCCAACTCAGTCTGAGGGAACCCCCAAAATAATGGTACCTAGCTATAGCCAATAGAAAAAAAAAGTAGTCTGTTCTGTATTTCTTAGTTTGGAAGAGGAGTAATCAACAATGCATCAATACATTAGAAAGCCTCCAACAATCTAGTAGGAAATATTGTTGCAAGAGGACTATAAAGAATTGTAGAATCACTGAATGGTTGAGGTTGGAAGGGACCTCTGGAGGTCATCTGGTCCAAGCCCCTGCTCAAGCAGGCCTGCCTAGAGCTAGTTTACCAGGACCACATATAGGTGTCTTTTGAATATCTCCAAGAATGAAAGAGCTCTGAATCCCTCCAGAGTATCTCAGACGGTTACTTCTTATAATGTTAGAGAATCAGCTGCTTTTTATATATAGCCTAAGAAAGACAA